AGATCTATACTAACAATAAGTAAATACATATGTGTTCTCTAGGGAATTATTTTTAACAAGCTTCTCACAGTTGACTATTTCGATTCTGTTGCTGATAGATGATCATATCCGCGTTAGTTTGAACAAGGCACATGGCCCACGAACGTTCATCACCTTTATATGGCATAGCGTTCAATCACGCAGCACTCTGCTCCTGACAATAAAACGGATTCTATTTATAATCACGAAACAGGCGAATCGCGGCAGGTGTCGAGGACGCAGGTGCGCATTTATTCGGTTCTGCAGTGAATCGCAATCTGTGGGCTTCAATTGCGAGTTATCACTCGGGCAGAGACGCATTGTTTAACCGCGTCAAAAAGTGACGGGGATAACGCGTTAAGCGCGCGCGACACTGTCGACAAATTCGCTCGGGATTTGGACGAAACACAGTAGAACGAGTCGAACAATAGGATGGCTCTCGCGATCGGTCGATTCTAGGCTAATTCAAAGAAATGCACGGGCTCTTTCAAAGGGCCAGCAACGCACACGCGAACATCAAAATATCAATTGTCGAAGCGGTGGAATTAATTACAGGTTGCAATTAATTTGCCAATTAGATCTCGACTGGGATCCATTTAGATGTAATCTGCTTGCTGGCAGCTCATCCTCTTTCCGCGTTCCCTCCACTTTGGTATCTCCCGTGCAGCATCAGATGCGAACACACAGAGAACTGGCATCCGCTCCGAAGCAGTCGACAAATTAGCCGTATTAACGGATACGACCGCGAACGCAGATTTCGCACAGTTTAGCATGCAGTTCTCCGCTTGATACCCACGCGAAGGATTATTCAAGTTAACTCGAGCCAGACACTCGCGAGCGCACCCTTAGCAATTAGAATAACTGAATTATGTAACGAAAATGTCGAGAGAGAGAGAGAGTCCGCAGCTGCCTAACCACATCTTTAGTACGCTTTGACGTCTTCGTGCTTGGTTGATGGAATCATTCGCAATAATATGCGAAGGGCCAATTGCGAATTTCAAAATTTACACAATGATACATTCGTTAAAAAAAAAAATAAAGTAAAACCTCAGGTTAAGCTGGATAATTAATGATAAAGCACCATTCTTTTTTCTCGAGAAGAAGCATAAAAATTATAAATATAATTATAAATATAATTTCTCGCCGAAGAGAAGAAAGTTCGCGGAAATCTATGGCTCCGTTATACGATTACAATTGGTATTAACTTGCCCAAGGGTAATCAAGTAATGAATACATCGCCGGCAAAGACCGGCGTATATAAATCATGCCGGCGGAGAGGATTCCGGGGCTACAGGGCGAGCCCTTATCTCCAATCAGTACATTGATTGCACGCAGGCAGGTCAAATACCGGCAGCGCCACTCGGCAGCCTGGCACGATAGCTTATTCAATTTCCGAAACGGCATTCACCATTCAATTCGGCGGTTATCAGCCTGCGCCCATCCCCTATCTGGATTTTACCTAGCTTTCTAGAAAGCTGCGTGTAGTCGTCTCGAAAGAAAAGGCTCGGTTTATCAACGAATATAAATTGAGATATAAATCAAGATTTTTCTCAATAGTCCAATATTTTTACGCAAATTCTCTCGAAGCAATTCTCTCGATCGCAATCGATAAAGCCTAAGCGGAAAATCGAATTCTTCCGACATTATTCGATCGTATATAAATTTCGCAAAGATTGTTTAAAAGAAAATATTTCAAACTAGAAAGGTCTATCTCTCTCTCTCTCTCTCTGTGCCGCTGGTTCAATGACGCAAAGTTCTATCGCGAGCACAACACGGCATTAACATTCGGCGCATTTGTCACGCGCGTGGCTATCATTCAGCATCTACCGTTAGCGAGCACTTTCCCGCAGTGTACATAGATAATCGAGCTTAATTAATTGCTCGTGATGCGCGCTCGAGGCTCAGCAAACACATTTACTTATTACCATCCATCTTGAGCGTTACCTCTCAAGGGGATCGATTTTCCAAGTGCACGCGGCTGATGACACAAATTGCCAAAGGGTCGACGCTCGATCGTAACGCGATCGTTAAATAGAGGTGCGGCTTTTTCTCCGGTTTTCTCCCTTTGCCTCCTCTCTCTTTCTTTCTTCTTTCTACGAAAGCTTAATGACATTTCTCTGAAAATGTACTTAGTTATCCAGCCGCCTCCAGCAGCATCCCGAAAAGTATCAAAGTTAATCGCGAATCCAAAACGACTTTTATGCATGAGCCGGTCTTGAACTATGTATATATGCCTTCGTCCATCCGTTTTGCATATAATGCGTACGGCACGTGCGATGTTCCTCTCTCTCTCTCTTTCTGCGCGCGTGTTAACTTTAATCTAAAATTCCTTTGCGAGGAATAACGCGCGTCAACGTATTCAACAAGCGTCGCTGCCAATTAGTACGCAGAAAGCATCAACTTTCAATTTTAATGACTCTCGTAACATCCATCCCGTCCTCTCGCATTTGACATTTTGATAAACTATGTATAGAGCTCACTTTTTAATAACGTAATACATGCTTCAAAATGACAAAATTACGTAAATATTACGTATATATATATAAAATATGACGCTCTGCGATAACGTGCTCACTGCTAACATGCTCTCATCGCTCTAATTGTCTAATGACAATTATCGACGTTAACAACTTGATTGAGCGACAGTTAATAGTCGGTCATGTTAATCCGTACGTCCGATCGTCGAGGCACGGTCTGTCTGTGAGAAAATCTCGCTCACCTGATCGTTATTGACTGGTACAGGTCCCTCGGGTCGTAAGTGACATTTACACGATGCATTCAGCGTTAAACTCGTCCGGAGAGACAAGGCGGAGAAACGGAGCGTCGTATCTCAGTTCCGGTATCTATACGGACGCCGGCTACCCCTGACAACAGGGCAACAACAAACGCCTAATGGCCAGTTCTCGACTCAAAGTTTAATTTCCTGACCAGCGGACAGTGCTTAAAGTGACCTTCCCTCTCTCTCTCTCTCTTTAGCTCAATCTTCGTCTCTCTTTCTCTTTCTCTCTTTCCTCCCTCGCTGTCTTGCTTGTCGTCGCGAGCGCTTTCTCTCCTTCCGTCGTCCCTCGCGTATGCCGGTCTCGAGAATCGCGACCGGACGTACAGCCGCCGCTATGAAATATTAAAGAGTTAATGGCAACCCTCCACACGGAATCGCGAGTAATTACCGCCTAACAGTCGCGTATCGCCGGATTAATCGATATAGTGTGGAGTTTGATCCCCCGAGACGCTGTTAATTGCTTCTACATTCGAGAAACGTGCAATCTCTCGCGTTTTTCCGTTCCTTCCGTGACACGAACACGATGACGCGTTGAAAATTTTTCTACCTACAAGAGGCAGCGCGATGATATGTATAGACCGCGATGATACGATTGCGCTATATCGATCTCTCGAAGAAGAGAGAACTCCATGAACCCGGAACACCCATGCTCCCTTGCGTTTGACGTATATACACCTCGTGCAGTGTCTACGTGATCGTGGCACTGACCCCGACCGTAATGTCGCTCCTCTTTACACCCGACACATGCATACGCGCGAAATAAGTTTTCGGGGTTATCGGATTCGTTTCGAGCTCACCATCCATGCGCATCTTTCTCTCATAATTCTTATGAAAGCGGATATAATAAAGAAAAAGAAGAAATTAATTAAAAAACAGATTTTCACATTTTTAGTTGTATGCGTTCACGTTAAAATGAGAAACAGATTTCCCAGTTTATATATCTCGCTTTTTTCATTTTTTTCCACTCAGTTATACGCTAAATTATGTATATCTTTATTAGTAAAATAGGTATACTAATGCTTTTAAATAAATCGTATGCAGTATAAAACATTGTAGTAATTACTATCGCACAACTATTGTACATATTATAATATATACAAATTAGAAAGAGATATCGATACAAATAGCAACGCAGTACTAACAACTATATTCTTCTTCGTTCTTCTAAAAAATATACTTTGATATAAACTGTAGTATAATGTATGTATATAACATTTATCTTAATATCACCAGAAATATCATAAATATACGCATACACGCATTACAAATATTTGAAAGGCGAAACCGTCTTGCAGCCTTCTCGCGTTTGCGGCTGTCTAGTAATCCTCCGAGGAAAATTGGTCAGAGAGAGAAAGGACCTGCAAGGCCAGCAGTAGGATAATGCTACTGTTGGAAACGTTATTCGCGCCAACGATGACACGGAAGGGGAGGAAAGAGGATGGGCACATTGTGGCGAAGAGAGTTCAAGACTGAGCGAGATCGATGGAAGAAAGGGGATGGGTGAAGGGCAAGAGGATGGAAGCTAGGATCGAAGTACGGTCCTGTGTCCCCCGCGTCATGAATCATGCATCCTCATCCCCTAGGAGTGAACTGGAACGCGGTGCGACCCGTCCGAGAAATAAACAATGTTATTTGTTCGTTGGGATCCCGACCCATCCACAGCGGTCCAAAGGACTTCTACCAGGACTGTGACGAGTCCTGTGCTTTCGTAACCCACAACCGTGGGATGAGAGCCCATCCAAGCTTCTCTCCTCTTCGCCTTGTCCTTCCTCGTGCGAGCTTCTGTATCCCTCGTATTCCATCTCTGTTCTCCTCGTCGCCCTGCGCGCTCTTACTCGCGAGCCCACGCGTACTCTGACAGTCAGAACTGTCAACGGCAGAGGAAGCTCTCGCAACCACTGATGGTGTTTGAACGGGACCGAAGTGACGCGAAGGACGAGCGCATACAAGTCGGACAAATAACGATACTTCCGCTTTCTCGGCAAACTGTATATTTTTGTCCCTTCCTCCAACCTAGTTTCGTCATTCGTCTTCGCTTTTATTCTTCATACTCCACTTTCGTCCTCTTAGAGAGGATACTAAAAGTGGATAGAAAGATAGAAAGTCTGTGACTCTCTGTCAGTAAATATAAGAAATATTGTAGAAACCAGCGCCGTTCTATCGCGACTCCGATTAATATATCGTGTCTTTATTTCTGTTTCAGATGAACCGTCCTATTCAAGTGAAGCCAGCGGACAGTGAAAACCGCGGAGGTGAGAACACACAATCGATCCAATATATGTCTCGGCATCGAGAAAATTATATTACTCTAATCGAATTATATAATGAAGATAAAAAATTCTATATATACCTATTATTAAGTTTAGCTAAACAATTATCGAAAATAATTATAACGCTTTCGAAATAATATATTTCAATTTTGTATCCACAATATTTCCATTTCTACACCATACAAGCAAAAAGACTCGCAACACTAAAAGGAAATCGAAACTACACATAGCATTTTGTAAATTCATAAACAGTAACTAAAAATTAAATATTATATGGATAAACAGAGATTCGACCTATAACGAGTCAGCTATAAATTAGTTTTTATTCTATACTGCAAGCATATCTTTTATCTAATAGCTATGAAGAAAATAATTTTATTCTACGCAGTATGTACTCGGTGCCTTTAACAACGTTATATTCCATATCAATCGCATACAATCGTATACTATGTAATAAACTACAGATAATCCGCTGTAATACTGACTCGCGATAACACGTTCGTCGTATAAAATTTATGCTCGTGCCGGTAGCGCGATAGACTCCGCACGATAATAAAAAATGTACCACCCATCGAGTCGTGTGTTGATATTCATCGACTCGTTCTCTCTCTCTCTCTCTCTCTCTCTCTCTCTCTCTCGCTCTATCTCTTTTTCTCTCTCTTTATAGAGTTGTCGCGCGCGGCTCTTCGCGCCCACGTCGTCGTATCTTTTCTGTACACACCGTGCCCTCTTTTACCAGAGACCAATTTTATTAATTACGTGAAATTTTACAGCTGGCGATGGTACGCGGTCGTCATGTTGACATTCGCTTATCGCTACAGTAGCCGCGGGTCATAAATTTCGCGTCACGGTAGGATAACGGAGGCCCGCATATGTATGACGAGACTTTAGATAATCGAGAGACAAATTGTCGATCGACTATCGTTTTTAATGAGTTGTCGCTTGTGTTATCGCGTTCGCGCGACCTACGCACATTCGCTTCGTGTTTTCTCCCCCGCTTGTATGGCCGTGCGCGCGCGCGCGCACGTTGTAATCCTGCCGATCTATCCTATTTCGTCGGTGTTATTATTTGAAAAAACACGCACTCGTGCGAACGTTATAAAATTGTATCTCTTGCAAAAATCTGACGCTTTTTCCGTCTTTCGCTCGCTCGTTCGCTGGTTTGCCCATTCGCTCGATTCGACCCATGCGTTAATTTCTATAAAGCACCTCGGCAAATATCAGCTCGTACCATCGGAGCCACGATTTAATTAAAAATATGGTATTTATCTTTGGAGGCGGGTCGTATTCCCGATCGATACCGTTCCATCCGTTCTACGAGCCGCCATCGCCGAAGCTGCCGGCGTCGCTTCCGATGCATGTAAATAGCAGTAGAGCTCGTCCGGGAATTCCCGAAGGCTAAGAGCCGTTGGGGCCCCCTTCGTTACCATTCGCAAAGTCCTCGCCACATCGGGGACAGCGTTCCCGGCGAGCCAGCAACTACTCCGAAGTCCTTCGGATAGTCCTTCGTTTCGACGAAGGTGGGTTAGGACTCTGGAGCAAGGAGCGCCCTGAGATAAAGGAAGAGAATGGAGTACACACATCTACGGGGAGCGGACAAGAGAGATAAAGAAAGGGAGAATGAGAGAGACGTACACAGAAACGGGAAGGAAGAGATCGAGGGAGATGCGAAGAGAGCGGCGTTAGACCGGGATGCGCGGAAGAAGGTACCCACGAGCTACGAGGGTGGCGGAAGGGAGCAGATGAGGGGGATCGTAATTCATATGCTAATCTGGAGGAGATGCCATTGTAATCTCCGGTCGCCTGCCTCCGTGTGGCCCCACAAAGCCTCGGCTTGATGCGGATGCAGGAGTGATCCTGAGCGGGGTGTCGCTGCCGCTTCTGCGGCGCGGTATATACCTATGTAGACGCTGTATCCACGTACTCGCAGAGTTCAATCAGGGGGTTACTGAACTTCGGCAACACCGTCGTCGAGCCACCTCCACCCTTATCGACATCGTCGTATCTATCCTCCGCCACATACGGTCGCTACGTACAAGATAGTTTCCGCCACTTCATCTTTGCGCCTCTCTCTCTCTCTCTTTCTCTCTGTCCCCTTTAGCCTACCTTAACAACTATCCCGACGCGATCTTTATGGTCCTTCGTAACTGTTGACATGACCCTCATCGAGTTACTCAGCGTGAAACAGATGTTAATGACATCATGTAATTCGTTGGGATAATGCTTGGGATTACAGCCAATAGTTAGTTTGCGTTATAAGTTCGATATATTGTGCGTAATCTATTTTAGGATGTCGAGACTGACACTTATCATCCGGGAGACATTGATCAAAATTAAATTATTTCGTAGATAATAAATCATTATGTTTTACTAATCTCACGTCTTTCACAATCAACAATATTATTATTATAATATATCTAGTAACAATTATTACATGGAGGTTCTTATCTAGTATGTTATTTTGATTTTTTTATGGTGGCCTGCTTAACAGAGATAAGTTTTGAAACTTCAAAAATATTCACAAATTAATTATCGAGTTACAATACTTATTTAGTAATTGCATTTAAAATTCGCACCATTTGTTAACTAATTTAATTAATATTTTATTCTTACATTTTCTCAAATCTGCTGGAACACAAATACATGTAAATGTCCTTTCTAATTAAATTGATAGTTTTAATTTTTATGTACAGTGTTCACACAACACGCATTCAAAAAATTTCAAACTACTGATCGTAATTAAGAATTAACAAAATTAACTCTATCAGTCGAGTGATTTTTAAGATCGCGCCGCGCGGATTTATATATTCATGTTTATAAGATTGTAACATGCGAAAAGTTTCTCATTAGCATTTTAAATCACTCTTCTGTACCCGTTGAATAAAGTATTCGTTCATTCAATACGATTACTATACGATTTGTCACGCATATGCTAAAAATAGCTTATAATTTTAAAAAATAAATTCTTTAAAATCGTATGATATTTTTTGTACGCATGCTACATCGTATAATAACCGTATTACATGAACAAACACGAGTATTCAAAAAATGTTCGAGATCGCATCGCGCGGACTTATATATACCCATGCTCGTAGAATTACACATGCGGAAAAGTTTCCCGTTAGCACTTAGTGCTTTATTCTCTCGTTATATATAAGTTCGCGCAGTGTGATCTTAATATAGTTTTTTTAATACTTGTGTTCGTTTATTCATTTTTATCACACGACTGTCACGTGTACGCTAAAAATAGCTTATAATATATTTAAAGAATTTTTTTACATATTATATAAGTTATTTTTGGCGTACACATAACAAATCGTATAGTATTAGACTGAATGGACACTTGATTAAATAGGCACAAAAGAAATGATTTATAGCGCACAGGAAATTTTCTCGCTCATTTTTGAAGCTTCAAAATTTATCTCTTAACACTCCCATAAAAAATCAAAATAACATGTAAATAATTCCTTGCCAGTGATTTATTTTATTCTATACCATATATAAAAATTCTTTCTCTGTATATAAATTCGTTCGTGCATAAATAAATTCTAAAAATATTGATTTAATAATAACAATACATATATGTATACAGCTGACTCAAATTAAATTATTACAAGTAGATTAGATTCCATGATCATTGCGTTGTCGATTTTAAGAATTATCGTGAGAACTGTAGGGTTCTTTGCTAGGCAAAATCGATTAGCTTCCTTGAAATATCTTTCTATTGAAAGGGTGGAAACGAAGAAAGGAACACGCGCTTCGTCACTTAGTATGCATAAAATAGCAATTTAAGATAGCGATGCCTATAACCGCTTCTCACTTCCAGCCATCGAGAACGGTTTCATTGTTTCATTTCAAGGCACTCGTTCTTCGCCTTTTTCCACGTTAATGACTGCCCTTTACGCCTGCGTTTCGCAGTCCCTGTGCGGCTTAATTACATCATTTTATAGATTCCTTCTACAACGACTAGCGGGCGAGCGATGGCTCGGCAAAGTAATATCCTATTAGTGGTACAAAAGATAAATCAGGCTTTAATTGCGAGACGTTGCGGCGTTAAAATGTTCGGAAAACTGCGGAAATGGCTGCCGTCCGCAACTTGTTCCATAGTATCGCGCGCTTCGAAATTTATGCGTGAAATATCGTAAAATATTTGTGCAATAAATTCGTCCGTTAAACCATTAAAAACAATTCAAAGGATATTTGATATCGAATTTCACTCTATCTTGAATTCTATAACGTTTATAAATTTAATGCATCGAATATCTGTTACAAACGCGCAAATTTCCTGATGATATCGACTAGGGAATTTTACATTTTTACAAGAGCTGCACATTTATCCTCTCCAATTTTTATCGCGGTAGTGTATCATCCAAGATACCTTCACCTCGGAAGTAACTCAACAGAAGCTAATCGTGTAAAGATCCGAGAATGGAAACCTCTTCTCGAAACATTTTTCACGCATGTCGATGGTAAGACTTCGCGCGCGCGATAGTAGCGTCGAAGCAGCCGGAATTAAGTTTACAACGACGAGAACAGATTTGAGAAATGCGTATCTCGCGCGGAAGTTGGCCCGCCGACTCAGGGGCGGCCGAAGTTTCTACGACTGGATAAGGGTGGGTGCCGCTGTACCGGAGCTAGTTGAGCAAGTAGATAAGTTTCGATCCCTCGACGAGCCACCTTTCTCCCACCGCCATCACTCGCCCTACTACTATCTCTTCTTCGTCGTAGATAAACGTATCCCGGAATATCAGGTTGGAGGGCCCACGGCCGTCTTTCTCGCATCTCTGCCAAGTTTGGCTCTGCTAACGTGACGTGGACCGGTCCCATCTTAAATCCGTTCGAGAGAAATCCTCGCGGATTATAAGAATCCGTCTCTGTATTTCTTATACCGAATAGAACGACGGTACCGCCGTCGTCGTAGAAGCAAGCGCGAAGTTACTCGCTGGATTTGTAACTGCAGTTTCATTTTATGAAATGCCGGAATATTCGCGAAGTTACTTTAGTTGTGCGGAAGATGACGGGAAAGCATGAAAATTACAAATGTACTTGTAAAACAACCTTGTTTAATGGAATATTTATTTGGAGAGAAATTTCGCAAAAGTGAATTTATTTTTAATGTCCATTATGTTTAACTTGATTTTATTCCAAAAATGTTTCTCATTTTTGTCTTATAAATTTAAATAAAAATTCATTTGATATCGTCCAAGAAAAATATCAAAAGTATTATTTTTACGTAGTGTAGAATTTATAGTTACAAAGAGAGTAAAATTTTAAAAATTTATAATTATAATCTTTTTTAATTATCTCCTTTCTAAAAAAACGAAGCTAAAAATTAAACAAATATATTGACAAATATATTTTTGAAAATTATTCTTTAAATATATATATATGAATTTTTTTACTAATAATTGTTCATGAAAACAAACTTAGCAACTTATAATTAATGATGATTCAACAAAATTTACATTCGATAGATTCATAACTACCTAGCAAAATATATTTGTTATTTATCACAAATAAAACGAATGCGGTTTGAATATCATCTGCGTCGCGTCGTGTCCAACAAAACGTTCGCTTTGTTCTCATCGTCCAGCGAGAGGATAATTTCCCGAGAGTTAATTCCTCTTTCGCTTCCGCTCGGAAAGTTGAAGGAAAGAGGACACGAAGGGCGCGTTAACACTTAGCTCCGGCGACAAAGGTCCAATTCTTGGTCCCCACGGTATCCTGACGCGACAATAGGAGCGAACTCCCAGCGAAAAGTACCCGGGGCTAAGAACAGACAAGATATTCCCCGACGAAGGGAGAGCGGTGAGGCGCTGATACGCCGAAGGGAACCAAGGCGGGTGTTAGGCGGGTATGAGGATTGCCTGGCGGGAGGGAGAAGGAGGAAGAATCTGCGGAAAGCGGGGATGCAACGAGGCTGCAAGTCAGGCGAGAATCTAATTTCCCGAGACAAATCCTTAAATGTGCCTCGGAGCCCGACTATAAGGCGCGAGCCGAGGCATCTCTCGGAATGAGCTCGCGTCTAGCATCCGCGACAACGACCTTTAACTCGACTCGCCAATTTTGCGTCTCCATAACGTCTTCTCCTCCTCGCGAAACGCGTCATTAAGCTTATTCACGCGGGAAATGCGGTGGATCGAAAACGGAACGTTGCTCGAAACGTAGTCGCGATCTAAGCGGAAAAACATAAACTCTATAATCTCTTGAATATCTCTTTACCTCGAATATCGTGTTTGCCTATAACGCGTTATTTAAAGCTGTCGTCTCTTACAATCTAATTTGTCGACGATAAAGACTATCGAAAATAATTCAAAGAAATTTGAAATATATTCGCCTTTATCAATCATCAGAGTTTGCGAGAGATTTCTCAATTAGTTAAAATTAACGTATTGAATTGTTTATGGAAATAATTGGAATTTTATTATCTCAAATAGTATAATTCGACTTTCAAATCTTGTTACTGATGTTATTGATAATTCATGACAGTTTAATTCCTGTGATTATTATTGCAATTATTAAACTGATTCCATTGTATTCATGATCTAGTATTATATATGAAAATTAGATAATTACAATTGTATTAGCACAATTAAATTAAAAAATTCATGCGTGATATTTAATAATAATCAAATAGAATGTTTATTCTAATGAGATTCAATCTAATTATATAAAATGTAAAAAGAATCAATATTGATTTTATAGCAATGCATATAAAATGAATTGGCAATCTGCAAGAACAAGTTTACAAACATTGATGCTCTTAAAAAATAATATTCTTATTTTAGTAATCATAATTTTTTTTTATAATCTGATAGGTTGTATCGTATCATCAGTCAGAAGATCCATTCGAAAGAAATGTGCTGTACCATATGCGAAAGAAACACACATCGATACGATTCCCAGCGAGTCTAAGATCGAATTGAATCTTGCGAGGATTCATATAGACGACGAATGGTGTATTTTGAGTCCAATGCCATTTCTTTGTTTCTGTTCTGTATTCCAGAGTGCATGATGGACGACGGGAGCATCAGTGCCATCTTCTGGAAGTAGGAGGCACCGGTGGCGGCCGCTGAAGGTAACTTCGACTTCCAGGAGATAGCTAGCTTCCTTCCAGTACCTCTATTCTTCTTCTCCGCAAATCGGCAGAAAGAGAACTTCCCCCCCTTGATGAAAAGAGAGATGAAAACAGAATGAATAAGGAAAAAGAAACGGGTCCATTCTACCAAGCCCGCTCCTCCTGATCACGCCTGATCACCGCTGATTCAGCCAGCACAGCCCGCCGCAAAATCCATTTTGCTGCTCGCTAGTGTTTGAACCACCAAACTCCAGCATTTCCTCACGATTCACTATCCCTTAGCCCGACTTAGTGCAGCAAATATATATATATCTATATATATATATATATATATATATATATATATATATATATATATTCATCCTTTAGAAGGAGGCTAAATTCGCACAAAGTGTACGGTGTGTGCTCATCCAAATTCTTTCGCAAAACGTTTCGAGTTGTCTTGAAGCTTTCGGCACACACGCGCGATTCATTAGGACTCCTGTAGACTGATTATACGCTTAGGATGTAGGAATAGAATGTATTTCCGTGAATCTCTTAATTGGCTTGAACAATTGGCTCGAATGGATTGGCTCGTACAACCTCGAAAGTGTTAAAAATCTCTTCGCTGGCAAAATTCCCGAGATACTCTAAGCTGAAAATTCGATCGTGATGATTCCTCCGAAAGCGTGCACTGTTTATTCGTGCCGTGAGAATAAATGCTAATGGGCTCCTCTAAATCAGTCTTGCCCTACCCCTTCTCATCCGTTTCTCATCCGGCACAATACGCATCGTTTTACGCATACAGAAGGTATTATAGACAGTGTTGTGCGTACTTACCACGTGCGTGATTGGAACCTGTAGCCGTAAACCTGTCGTTCGTGTTTTTTTGCTCTGTTTATTGCGCACCGCCGTTACATCACACTATTGAAGCTTCGTTAAAACGAGGCGTGCGTGGCGTGGACGCTCTTAGAATTTTACACAGATTGGCATCTCTCTCAAGAAATGCAGAATACCTACATGAGAGAATCGATCTTAGAGCGTCTACCAACCGTGCAACAGCAAATGACCCCTTTGCTCTAAAGTGCCGAATATATTGTACGTTTCTAAATCCAAAGTCCCATCGTCTTACATTTCCCGAAACCCCGTCTGACCTAATATTTATATTCGTGTCGACGACCATCTTGATCGTACATGTGTTTTATATATGTACATATATAATATTACATATATGTATATATATATATAGCTCTTTACAACTGTATGATCATATAATAGTGGCTCGTTCGTTGGATGTGTTGTCTCGTTCGTTATCGATGTGTTTTTATCATCTCTGTACATATTTTCTGATTATGATGTGAGCTACATTTATCTTATTGTATTACTTAGATTTGATTCTATATATGACAGTTTATAATATATATATATATCCCTATATTTTTCTCTTGACAATTACACAAATAAATCACTCTTTAACCTGCTATACTTGACCATTCCCAGCTCATCTGGATCCATTTTTTCCATATTATCCAACTGATTGTGAATCTCGCACAGCCATAATCGTGTTTTCGATATTACGTGGGGATACACGTACATATACACACACATGCTAAGACATATCCAGTGCAGATATTTCTAAATATACTTATTATATACCGATAATCTATCAAAATTTAATTTATAACGTAAAAAAATATTTTTTTAGGATAAATATATATAACTTCTACACTAAATATACTTTTGGAAGCAGAATTATAAAAAAATTCTTTTATCGAACAGTTGTAAGTACGCTGCATCCACCTTAAAAACAAGCGAAATCGAAAAATTGAGGGATTTACAATCACGAAAAATTCTCAATCAAAACCAAATATCATAAGCTATGCGATTAAATCATATTCTAAGCTTAAAAAATCTCGCGCGGTTTTTACCCATTACATCTCGCTTAATTTCCGCGCAAAACTTAGAAATAGCTGCAGAATATAGTATAAGCATTTATTGTTGAACTTTGTGTGACGGTGATCCATTTCGAGAATACATATATTGCCTGTCCATTAAACAATTAGAGAGACAGATTTAGTAAATTTGTGTATGCGAAAAAAATTTTAAAAAACATTAAATTCGACGCGGATCACCGTCGGGAATATCAGCCAGAGTTGGATCGCTTAATATCCCACCTGATTTTATCGCGCGATCCTGTTTCTCATTCGTTTTTTCGGCTTTGGTATAGGTCGTAGATCAACATTGGTTAGATTATTTTTCTTTTTGTTATATTATGATTTCCGTTACCACACATTCCCTTTGGAATATCGTTTCCACTGTTACATATGTATGTTACATTGTTATCGGTTATGATAATTGTTTCCGTTGTTGTTCTCGGTTACTTCTGTCTCACAGAAGACACAGATATAACCCGTACATGCATACACCTATACACACATACACTTGCGCGGTTCCCAGTGCTGTTTAGATGTATACATTGACGTAATGACAAGTGTAATCGTGCGCGTTGAGAATATCATACGCGCGCACATACAGATATGTTACGTTTTTATATACATATATGTACATATATACATATATATGTACATGTAAAGATATACATATATATATATATATATATATATATATATATATATATACCCCAACCTCCTTCCCTTTAGGATGGTGGATGCTGGTGTAACCGTGTAATTTTGTCGTTCTCGGTGTTAGCCGCAAGATCTTCTCTTAACGCCTATAAATGCTTAGCCTGCACACAGAACTAACTAACGCTGTTCTTTCTTTTTTTCTCTGTTCCCTCTATTTCGCAACGCGCCGTCGTCGAACTGCAGACAGAAAGCTGTTCGTTGGTATGCTAAGCAAGCAACAAACTGAAGACGATGTCCGACAGTTATTCACTGCCTTCGGCACAATAGAGGAGTGTACCATTCTTCGTGGACCCGACGGAAGCAGCAGAGGTGAGTATTTTTTTATTTCCAGTTTTTTTGGATAAATACATTTAACATCTATCTACTGAAATATAGTTTTTTTTTTTTTTTTTTTTTTTTTTTTTGTTAAACATTAGGTCTTAATTTCAATCTTATATTCGTTGACATTCGAAGAAAATGAGATAGAAGAAATGCCCGCGATGAGATCTCGTAAATATTGCGATTAACGATTCGTTATATCATAAAAAGTTAAAAGATCGCCGATAAAGGAATTTAAAAATAGCATGCTTCAGAGTCTCTAAGGGATTAAGAACGAAAACCATATCCTCTCTAGAGCTAAGTGTACCGTAACGTGGTGCACGTATATTTTTATGTCGTGGGATAAAAGCATAGGCGCATTGTCCATAAAAATACGGGCATCTGTGCAATTTTTAGCCGCAGGATATTCGCGTCCCTCTTTGTTGCACGATCGTTTTACGTCTTCGCTACGCATTACTTTTTCCACTCGATTCGTGCAATTTTAATCCAACAAAAATCAACCCACGAACATAACAATCTAACACAAAAGCTTGCGTAATTTCAACGTTACTGTTATTTCAACTTCTTGTTAACGCGTAGAAGCGAATTTCATGGATGAAATATACAAAATGCTCACCGTATATATCTTGGAGTAATTTTTCAACGTTCAACTTTAAATCGTAACATAGAAAAAAATCACTGATTTATCAAAATAAAGTTAATTAACATTAAATAAGGAATACGAAAAAACCATAGGTACCTTAATATTTTATCGTAGAGAAATGAATTTGAAGATAATGAAAGAAATAAAAAAGAGAAAGAGACACACTTTGTACGTCAGTATTCGAGAGAGCCGCGAAGCTCATAATCCGCATAATCTTTGAGCATTTCCATCGAACGATGAAGCGAGCAAAGGGACTCGCCGGGGTACCTGGTTTCCACAGAAGTGGAAGCGAACGGACTTGGCGAAATTAATCACGAGATGAAGCAACAAAAGGGAGGGAGAGCAGTTATCTCAAAGGAAAGAAAGCAATTGCCCCCGACCTAAGGGAGAAGGGAAAAAAGAGATCGAGGCTCGCTGCTCATTTCAACCTTCGACGATGATGCACGATTAAGCCCAGACGGAAGGATATAATCGCGACGGCATTTGAATATCCGCTCGAGCTGTAAACAGCGCGGAAAGGTAGGTGGATAGGAGTGACGAAAAATGGATGTAATTCGAGCGAGGATAACTGGAATGGTGGGCGAAAAGTGGCTACGAGCCACTGTAGTTGGACGAGAGGAATAATTTCCGCTGGACGAGACGGCGAAATTTAAATATTTTTATTCAAGAGTGAAGACCTCGCGATGCAAGCGGCAAGCATTGAGAAGGTAGCAGCGAGTTACGAGGGAAGTGATCGAAGAAAAAGGGGAAAGCAAGACGTGTACTAGCGGAAAGGAAAAGAGAAGGAGGAAGAGGGGGAGGAGATAAACAGAGGAAAGAGCGAAAGAGCAGAAAAGATAGGGCAAACCGAAGGACCGGGAGAAATAAGGAAACGGGAGGGCGCGGGTAGGCAGGCGCGAATGTAATTAAATTCCACTTTGAAGTGAAACTCACTTTCAGCAGTTAATAAGATTTTGATTCGTAGTCGGTGACGTAACGCAGCGCGCTCATCGTCTTTGGCAGGTAGGTGCTGCTCGTTCGCGATGATGAAGGTAGTAGTAGGAGGGAGACGCCAGGGAGAAGGAACGGAAGTAGTACGTGAGAGAAGAGCTTTACAATGTGCGAAGTCTGTGTTCCTTTGCTTCTAGCAAAGACCAAGCCTCCCCCGCCCCGGTCCGTCTTGCCGTCGCGTCAGAGCTCGAGGTTCTTTGTCGAAAGCCCCAGGACGACGATGTTGCGCCAGCTTTCCGAGCTCTTTAATTAAAATTACGCGAGCGCTCGCAGCACGACAGTTTCCAACCGGTAGTCGGTTTATCACGTGGAATGCATTCGCGATTACTCGCCGAGAATCTCAGGTATGTCGCTCCGGCGATTACAATACCTTTGACAAAATGAAGCACGCGAGGTCTGAAATGCAATCTCGAGCTTAATCTCCGCCTCGCAAAGTTGACCTTTCGACGTTGAGCGCAGTCGATCGAGGACGACCATCGCGAGGGGTTACCGCATACGCGGCTGTTTCCACTCGTCGAAACGAGAAAGCGTTCCAATTCCATCTCCGCACTAGCGCTTAGAACGCGAATCTTCTACGAGGTAATCCCACCGCAACCCCGACCGCGACATTCGTCCTTGGACGTTGGTATCAGAACGAAGTTATCCGGCGGGGATGGATGTGTCTGCCGCAGGAAGAGCCTGATCGCTTATTCCGCCGCGGCACATCCTACGCCCTGGTCTCGTCCCGGCAGAAACTTTCCCAACACGCTTCATCACTGCTCGCTGAGCCTCGGTCGAGTTTCATAACTAGCTAATCCGACCCGTAATAGAGAGATCAAGGAGAGCTCCGCAGAGAGCGCAGCCACATATATATATATATATATATATAGTATATACATACATACATACGTATATATATATATATATATATATATATGCGTGTATATGGTATACCTATATATCTATATATACAATATCGCCATACAGTTGCGAGTCTACGCGGCACCGAAATTACAGCGGGGAGGATATCGTTTCGGTAACTCTTATTCCGGCATCATCCGTCAGTAAAGCACAGGGATCAGTTACGTGTCGGGAGTGTAAGCGTACGCGGCAAGATATCCCGTCGACACACGCGTCAGTTTGGTCGTCCAACGCGGCGACCCTCGATGAGTTACGATGCCTGAAAGTTATCGACGAACAACCCTCGGCCATATTCCTCGCTTATTCCGCCCGTTGCTATCTCGACTTAACTTCCCCTATCGTACAGTGCCACCTATCTCGAAATGTTGCGGAAGACGATTTTTTTCGGTAACGACGAGCTTAAGAAAGAAAACTCGGATCGTTCTCAAAGAGACGGAATGTCGGTCGTCATCATTGTTGCCGAAAGGACATACCGCGTTGTCTCTCTCGTTCTCTTAAACATCCCGCCCCGTCGTTTCCCAAGGGAGAGCGGAGAACGACGACGGAGCTCTTCGTCCAATTATTTTTCCCTCGCTTCGAAACATTTCAACGCCACTTCAACGAACGAACTCGTTCTATTCTCGTTGCCGCGCAACCCTCCGCTCGGAACAGAACCGCGTCACTTCTTCCCCGGGTTCTCTCTCTCTCTCTGTCAGTATTGCGCCCTCTCCGTCCTCCCCCCCCGTCATCCTCTTTCCTAGCTCGCGATCCCAACTTGGGGCTACCCCTCGACGCGCGCGGACCACCGCATTATTTCAATTGCGCGAACGGCAATAATTCACCACGCGGTAAGAAGATTATAAAATGTTTATGAATAATGGAACGAAGTATTATTCGGGCCCTTTTATGTATCGCACAGACGTGGGAATGGTAGTACGCTCGTCGAGAGTTAGCGCCGCCGCGGAGGCAACTCTCTTCATCTACGAAGTAGCGACCGAGTCACGTGTATTTTCTCTATATGCGCCACGATTGCGCAACCGGGTGCCGGTGAGCGCGATACGATTATTCAAACCGGAGAAACAATTCCGTGCATTAAGTCGTAATAACATTGCGCGCCGGTATTCCCGATCCTCTTTTGTCGCTGGTATTCGCGAAACGCGGTATTTGGTACTAGCAGTCCCGGCCGCGCTAACTATCGGATAGCATTATGTAACATTTAACTCCTTCAGGCAGAGGAAGAGAGAGAGAGAAGTACAATAGATCATGAGTTTGCGAGTTACTGCGCGAACAATGCAATTACCAGAAACATTATATCGTGCGCTTCAAGATCTTACCTTAAGGGATGCGCACGACGGATGCTAATTTACTCGGTTTTAACACCAAAGTGCATATTAACATAACATCTGTCACATTATTGCAAACTTGAAGCTTTTGATGCGCTACGCCAAATATATTTTATTACGAGTTCAGAACAAATAAGTGAGTTTTCATCAAAAAGACAGATAATAATTTTTAAATTAATAAACTCTTCAGTTTTTATGTCAATATATATTCTTGTAGATGATATGTTAATTTTTGCATTTTATTAAACATTTAAATGAAAGAAAAGAAGTGCGATTCATTGAAACAACTAATCAAATAAACCTAAATTTAACCAAACACAAGTTTGTCGATTGTTTTCTATTTTTTCCCTCGTATATTGCGTCAGTACGATTAATCGTCGTAGTCAGCACCCTTTAAATTGTCGTTTCGATTCGTCGGTTATGTAACACCAGCACCATCGACTCGCGCGTACTCGCGCGAAATCATTTCCGATCATTTTCGATGGAGCTTCGTTTTTGACTGCGCGACGCAAAGAGATTGCGATATGGCCGCGTTAACAATATTGCTGACGGGGGAAATATGACGAATCAATAATTTCCTCGGCCTAGCATTTTCTGATGGAGCATTAAACGAGCGATGGTTATCGACGATTAATCGTTCAGCTGTCACTTGCACTAGCGCGTCCGCGCTCGGTATGTATCGTGCCTTAATACCTACGCGGACAATTTGCGTCCTTTATCTTCGGCACGCGCACACGCGAAAAACTCGGCGTCTCCATTATTACAGGCACACATTACGCACACTGTCGCGGATTATGCCGGGAAAAATACTATTGTTACTGGAATACAGTTCTCATTATCGCGCGGCTATAAACTTGTCCGTTCTCATTATCCTCCAGGACCGTGCAGTTACCAAGCGGTAATTCCATTAATGATTCCACTTATCGTGATCGCAAATTATATAATAGAATACAAACGTGGCGCCTCTATCAATGCAACGAGACAAGCTGTCTCAACGGAGAGCGCGATCAATCAGTATTAAATTTCGCGCGTAGAAGAAAAATCGAAATCGTGCTAAAATGGCAAATTATATACGCGCTTCGTTACCGAGGCTCGCAGTATATCGAGATGACCGATATCCCATCATATTTATGACG